TTTTTTTCAACGTTTATTTATTTTTGGGACAGAGAGAGACAGAGCATGAACGGGGGAGGGGCAGAGAGAGAGGGAGACACAGAATCAGAAACAGGCTCCAGGCTCTGAGCCATCAGCCCAGAGCCCGACGCGGGGCTCGAACTCACGGACTGCGAGATCGTGACCTGGCTGAAGTCGGACGCTTAACCGACTGCGCCACCCAGGCGCCCCTAGAGATGGGATTTTAAAGGTGTCTTGATAGCACAATCAGCAAGAAGACATTTTGGGGGCTTCCGTAGTTATATGACTCCTAACTGAAGTAGTCCTATTATTTTGTTATGAAAGTTGTTCTTTGCTTATTTTTCTTGAGTTAGTGAATTTAAAAAACTAAACTTGATAGACATTTTACCTTTTGTTGTGTCTTTTTATTCAGATTCCCTACATTTCTTATGCCATCAGGAAATAATTAAACATCTCTATAAAAAATAATAATCAGCATGAATTGAGAGCTTGCTATGTGCCAGGCACTTGACATATGTCCTGAAAAAGAGCCGTATGAAGTAGGTTCCATTATTATTGACATTTTTCAGATGAGGAAACTGAAACATTCAAGTTGCTAAGTAAACTTGCCCAAGATGACCCAGCTACAAGTGGATTCCAAGGCCCACACTTCTTTGCAAAATTAATGTAAAACTTAACATTCTCCAAAATTGTTCAAGATTCCAGTCTCCTTTAAACATGCCCGCTTTAAGGGGCATCTGGGTAGCTCAGTCGGTTAAGCGTCCGACTTCGGCTCAGGTCATGGTCCCCCAGTTCATGGGTTCGAGCCCCACATCAGGCTCTCTGCTGACCACTCAGAGCCTGGAGCCTGCTTCGGATTCTGTGTCTTCCTCTCTCTCTGCCCCTCTCCTGCTCACATTCTGTCTGTCTCTGTCTCAAAATTAAATGAACACTAAAAATAAATAAATAAATAAATAAATAAAAACAAACATGTCCACTTTAAGCTTCCTTGCTTTTGAGCATTCTGCCTTTTTTGTGGGATGGAATCAGTACATTTTAAGACCTATTTGGAAAATCTGGCCTCACTGAATGATCAGGCCATTTGCAAAGTGATAGAACCCACTTTATTGTAGAAAATAATCTTGATCTATAATATAAAAACCAAAGTTAAAATAACTCTTATATGCCTTAGAATTATAAAAGGTGAATTCACAACAATTCTGTTTATTCAAAAGTTACTCCATTGATAGACTTAAAAAGACATTCCATTAGATTATAAAAAGCAAGGCTATCCTACTTTAAAAATGTTTTGGGGTGCCTGGGTGGCTCAGTCGGTTGAGCATTGGACTTCAGCTCAGGTCATGATCTCACGGTTCATGGGTTCAAGCCCCATGTGGGGCTCTGTGCTGACAGTTCAGAGCCTGGAGCCTGCTTCGGATTCTGTGTCTCCCTCTCTCTTTTTTCCCTTCCCCTGTTCATGCTTTGTCTCTCTTTCTCTCTCTCTCTCTCAAAAATAAATAAACATTAAAAACAAAATTTAAAAAAATCCTGTCTTTATTTTTTTGCAATTTACTCATTATAAAATGCAACTTAAGTGTTTAAGTTCTGAGTTAAAATTTCTCAAAGTGAAGACAGATCTGACCTGCCATTTTCAGCTGTGCCAGGTAGTTAGGAATTATGCTGGTTTCTGCACCTGGGCCTTAACACAGTAAATGATTATACATGCTGAGAGTCTATATATTTTTTTAATTTGTAATATAAATTTGTTTTCCCTCTCTTATAAAATTGTAAGCCTCATGCACGGCAGGTTCTACATTTCCTGCTTCCTTTATCATATATTAAGTATATGATATTAATATGATAATATGATATTATGATATCAATATATTAATAAATATATTAAATATATATATTAAAATACGCTGTTGTCTTCCAATCTGAATTGCTGTGGTTTTGATATCTCAAAGAGGATGGTGGGAGTTCTGGCTGATACTTCAAACTCATCATAGTTCTTGGGGCAGGTTGAATACAGTGTTTGCTTTTTAAGGTTGTCAAACCCCATTCCAGGCCAACAACCAGCTTTTGAACGAGTCCCTTGACAAATCAGTAAGAAAGGGATTTTTCAAACTTTAATTTTAGAAAAATGGGTAACTTTTTTCAAATGGCAAGATACCATGCAAAGGAGTTACAAAGCAATCTATAGGACTTGACTATGCTATTAACTAGGCAGAAAAAAGGAGTTAAAAATTTCAAGCCTTACAAACATACCCAGTCAGCCCTGTTCTGTTTTTCTGTAACTCTAATAGTGTATGGAATTGAACTCTGAAAGTTCTGGAACTTTATTTATTTATTTATTTATCTATCTATTTATTTATTTATTGCCACTGAGAAAGGAAGTGAGAGGGCACAGCCCTGAAGAACTGGCAGTTTGGCATCTCTTCTCCCCCTTTTACCCCTCCTCCTCTATTTTAGCTATTTGACCTGATTAAACAACTTTGGGATGTTAGCCAGATTTCTGTATGCTAACGAGGCCCCTATTCATGATTTAGTGGGTTTTCATCCACCGGGAGCTTCCCGGATGCCCAGTGGAAGCCTGGCTTCACAGAAGTCTCCCAATTTTGTCGGGGGTTCGCCAGTGAGAAGTTCACAATGACTTGGGGGCAGACACGACTCTGAACGCCTCGGGTCATACCGGATTTTTCATTGGCAAATTTTTTCCACTTTGTATCTAAGGAGTGAAAGGTGACGCCAGAATCGCGTGTGCTACTCCCCGAAAGAGTCTCTGGCAACACCTTCTGTCTAGTTACTCTTTCCTAGTAGCAGGAAGCGTTTCCAAAAGTTTCCTTAAACCTCCTCTATCCCTAAGCCTAAAGGTCAGAGCGCCAGGTCCCACTTGGCTCCCCAGCCGTCCGAAATCTGATCGTTTCAGAAGTTTCTGGTGTTTGTAGATTAAAAGAGGTGGTAGTGGGGAACCGCGCTGAGTGACCACCGCGTATTACGTAACGGAAGCCCTGGCTGTAGGAGGGAGCGAGCCTGACATTGAGACATTCCAGGAGGAGGGGAGTTGCTGTCCTGGAGTCGCCAGGAACGGCGGCAGCAGTTCCAAGAAACCAAGAGAGAAAGGTGGCCGAGATAAAGAAAACACTACGGGAATGAGAATGTTAACAAGCCTTAGGACCCAGAGCATTAGCAGACGGCTGGGCACGTGTAGTAATTTGTTAGACGAAACGGCAGCCTTCCAACTTTTGCAGGGGAACAAGGAGATTTGCCCTTTGGGGGATTAAAAACGTTACAGCAAAGCCAAAAGCTAATGAATGGGGTTCAGTGGTTTGTTGGCAGTACTTAAATATTTCTGTCAAGGAGCGCAAACTCTCTGCAATTCTTTAGAAAGTAGGGACTCAAACCAAACTAGAACACTCTCCGGTGCTTCTCCACTTTCCCAAATCCAAACAGGAGCTGCTCGAGCGGTACTGCCCCTTTAAGACCTGCTTGCTCTCGGGCTCTACAAAAGGGAGTGACCTCTGGGCTTTGACAGCTCCCCTAATAACTACCAACGTGCAGGCCCCGCCCACCTGGCGACCAGCAGCGCCAATTGGCCAGCGGGCCGGTATCCCGTGCTCTGATTGGCTCGCCGCTTCCCCTGAGCGAACCTTTAGAACTCTGAGACAGACAATATTCTGTTACATTGTAGCAAAATGGCGACTGTCATTCACAACCCCCTGAAAGCGTAAGTAAGACTAAAAAATGTACATATTCCGCCTGGTTTCAATATGAAAAAAAAGGCGCCTTCCGCGTGCTGAGCGCTGCCAATGCACTGCGCTTGCAGGCGCCTGCAGCCGCGGCGGGGCTTCTCTTTTCTTTCAGCTCTTACTTCTTCATCTTCTTTTTTTTTTCCCCC